CGCCCCTCGTCTCGCGCAGGCCAATGGAGCCGCCCCGTCCGTCCCGCCCCGCCCCCGGCACACCGCGAAGGGTGGGCTCCGGGTGGTGCCCGAGGGGCGGCGGGGATGGTTGGGGAGTCAGACCCTAGATGTGTCCTCGCACCATGACGAGGGCGCCCGGAGACGCTTGAAGGAAGCAGCCCAGACTCTGCCTGGAGGGTTCGGGGTGTGGGCGGAGTCCGGGACCCTTGGGTGGCCAGGACCCTTGGGCTTCCGACAAAGGCCGCTGAGTGGGCGCCGAAATTACTAGTGTGCGCTGGGGAGGACGTTATCCGTTATCTTTTTTGCTCACGGGGCACCTGTGTGTGGTCCTGCTGTTTGATTGGCGTGGCCTCTCAGAGCTCCACCGCGTTTAAGAAATCGGATCCGATGGTAAAGAGGAGATAAACTTCTCTTCCAGTCACCGCTAGCTGAATGAGGATTTGCCTGCACCGACCGAGGCAGAGGGGACTGAAGCCCACAGGCCTTTTGGGGAGCTCAGACAGTTTAGTTTCTGGGGTGTGGGGGTGGCGGGGGTGGGGTGGGGGATGGGGAAAGGGCTGATGGAAACATTTGCAGTTTCTGTTTTATATCACCATCCCTACTCCTGACCTTTGGATCTCTTCTCCCCTACTCTCAACACAAATCATTTTAGTGTCATTCGATCTGTGGTTCTTAATCTTTGTAGAAACAGATGGCTATTTTAGAACCTGGTATGTACCTTCTAGAAAAATGCAGGTAAAATCAGCCTGGGATTTGAGTTTATGGGCCCCTGACCCCCTCTTGAGAGGGGCTGTGCTAATCATTGTTGTCAGGGCTGGGGGATTTGGGGTCAAGAGATTGGGCTCTGCTGTCCATTTCCTGCATGACCTTGCCATGTTTCAATTGCCTCAATTTCCCCACCTGCAAAAGCGAGGGGACTAAAAATGACCAGAGATTCTTCAACTTTGCCTTTGCATGAATCTGTGAAGAATGACCCATCCTTGGCCAGCTCAGGGCTCCCCTGTGGTCAGCGACCCCCACTCTGCACAGCCCAAAGTTCTGGTCATCAAAGCTGAGGCCAGTAACTGGTGCTTCTGAAAGTTTTTCGGAAACAGTGGGCAAAATTCAACATCGCCCTTAACCTCTGAGTATTCATTCTATGCCCAGTAGGGTAAATAAACATAGCACCAGGGTAACATACAATTTCCCTGGGGCTTTCCAGCACTTGAGAATGAATCATTCTCTCTTACCTAGTTGATGCTATGTCTGGGGCCAGGACTAGCCTGGAGTGATGATTGTGTTTGAGGAAGCAACCTAATGTGTCTTGCACTCCCACTGTGTGTCATGCACTGTGCTAGTGCAATACATCAGGGATCCCACACAATCCCCTCAACACCCCCAGGGAATGGATATTTCCACCTGGATTTTACATGGAACACAAGTGTCCATCATCAGGGTTCTTAGTTCCTTCAGAAGGAGGATCACCTTTTCCTTCAGTTTTCAGTGAAACTGTATTTGCTCCCCAGCTCACTTATGGTGGGTGTTGTGGATTTTGTTAGTTGCCAATCCATTATCCACTTTCTCCTTTGGAAAAAAGAGAGAAAGGAAGGAAAGGAACAGAAAAGGAAAAAAGTTGGGGCGGTTGGGTGGCTCAGTCGTTAAGCTTCTGCCTTTGGCTCAGGTCATGATCTCAGGGTCTTGGGATCAAGCCCCGCATCAGGCTCCCTGCTCAGTGGGGAATCTGCTTCTCCCTCTGCTCCACCCCCTTGCTCGTTCTCTGTTTCTCTCTTGCACTCCCAAATAAATAAAATCTTTAAAAAAAAAAAAACTACAGAGAAGCTAGTAAGGGTTTCTTCAGCCAGTGTAAGTGTGTGGTTTTGGAGTCTAACCTGCTTGGGTTCAAATTCCAGAATCCCAGCCCCATTTGCTGCAACTTTATTTGTTTATGAAGTGAGATTACTAAAGATCTCCCTACAGTGTTTTAAGAAAGCACTGGCCAGCACTGGCCTTGCACTGATGGTGTGTGAGAGGGGGCCCTCCCTCCCACAGGGCTGTGTCAGGTTGTCAAAACTCTGAAGCATCTCTCCAGAATCAGAGTCAGGAGCATGGGGGGCGTGGGGGAGGACAGGATGGCAGACAGGGTGAACTCTGAAGTCAGTGGGTAAAATGAATGAGACCTGGCACAACAAAGTCTGAGTTCAAATCCTGACTCCACCACTGGGTGAAACTGGACAATTCCATAGCTCTGTAAGCCTCAGTTTTCTCATCTGATAATGGGGATAATGAAAATATCAGGGCTGTGAGAAGTAGGTGCCATATTGTGCTACCGCCCTTTGCACAGGTCTGGGAACCAGGCAAATCCTTTATAAATAGCATGGTGAGGCAAGCCCCTCCTTCTGCTACCTTCTGCTATTGTCTCGGCGCCGGTTTTCCATCTGTGAAATCTGAGAGTTGTGTCAGAGCCTCTTTGGGCCTCCCCCCCCCCGACTAAGATCAATGCCTAAGACAAGAGACAAGGTGAGCAAAGGTGTAGCCTGCGGCCGCTCTCACCTATCCTGCCCAGGTTCGAGCTCTTGAAGTGCCTTCCCCCTGGAGAAGGTGCCTGGCGCAGTGCCCGCTCTCAGCAGCGGGCCTGAGGCCCGGGCTGCGCCAGGCTGGCAGGGGGAGGGAACTCTGCACGCGGCAGCCAAGGGGCACCGGTGCCCGAGCTCCAGAGTCCACGGCTGGGGGCGGTTTCGGGCTCGGGGACAGGAGACGGTGCTCCCCGGACGCCCCCAAACTCCTGCCTGTGCATCACTCACCCTCCGCTCATCGCGCAGTCCAGAAGCCTCTGCCCATGCTGTGCCCTCGCTGGCACCCGAGCTGTGTCCGCAGCGCCTAAAGCCTCAGGTCCCCGGGGCTTGGCGCGTAGGGCCC